CGCCGCCTCGGCTCCCAGGCGTGAGACGGGAGGGGCCGCGATCGGGCCGAGAAGCTGTCAGAGAAGGGCGCAGTTCGCCGCTCCCCCGGGAGCCGAGTGGACCCGAGGCAAAACATGGACAGCACTTCGTCAGAGAAAAATTGTTTAGCGCCTTAAATTGAGTTTTGGCCCAGGCTTCGGGAGTTGCTGACTGGCTGTCTGCTTTCAGCTGACTTGACTGATTAAAAATAATAAAAAAGCAGTTCTCTCCTTTCGGCTGTTGCTATCAGTTTCTGTCTTTGCTAAGAGATGGTCTCTGCCCAGCTGTGTTGGAATGTGCAAGGTAAGAGTGCAGCATCATAGGCTTAGTGTTTTACAGCTAAAGTGCAGCCATGGAAGGCCTTTGGAGGAGCATAGGATTCCAGAGACGGAGAATGCGAGCCGGCTGGTTCTTTGGTTTCTTTAGTGAAGTATTTTGTCTTTGCTTGTTATATGAGGTAACATAGAAAAATGTATGTGGCCCTCAGGATGGACTCTGCTGTCTGTTACTGTCTTCTGCTCCTTGGTCAAGGAAGCTGTCTTCTCTGCACACTTGTCCAGTTAGTCACTCTGCTAATGTCACCTCCACCTTTTGTTTGACCTGTTGGTACTACCATCTGGGGACTAGCTGAGAACTGACTAGGATGTTTTGTCGCATCTACAGGTTTCAGAAGCTGTAGCCATTCACTTGTTGACTGGGGGATTCTACCAGGCAGCTTTTCTTTTTCATGGAATGTTCTTTCATCCTCCTCATTTTCATTCTGTGTGCAGCACACTTTGTTCTCTATCTGTAATGAAAAGAAGATTGAGTTTGTGAATAGGGAAATTCTGTTTAAAATACTGTAGTTGTTTTAGCTTGCAGCTTCTCAGAAGTCTCTTGAATAGTGTGTTATTAGTGGCTCTGCTGATTTCTCCTTGCCTTGCAGCTACCCCTACACCACTGCTTTGTATGAAGGAACTCGCTCTGCATAAGCAGAGTGAATTCATCTTTGATGGATTTCAGCTTGGCTGCTGTCTCCCTGTATAAAACTGTGAGAATTGCTTACGTGCTGTTGTTGAGAAGAATGTGCTGTGAGAGACCTGTAAGTGACTGATAATCATGATTATGCAAAATTGCAGTCTGTGCTTCTTCCCAAGAGCTTCTGAACAGTCATTTTATCACATATATCACTGGTGCACTGCAAAATAGCCGTTGTAAAATTTAACATCTGTCATCTCTCTTGTCTGCAGACATACAGTGAAATCTTTTCAAAGAACGCTTTTGACAGATGACCTCATGTTAAGAGGCTGACCTGAACTACCCTTTGTATTTGTAGTCCAGTCTTCATTGTCCTCTTCTGGAAAGCTGTTTCTGCTGAGCCACTGATCTGTGTAGGTCCTTCAAAGGGTTATTTGACCCAGACTGTCTGAAGAGTTTCCTACATTTTTTAATTTTGAAGTCCTGCTTTTCTGAGTTCTGCTTAGCCAATTCATTTTGATGTTTGAATCTGTTCCTCAGTAGGCTCATGTGCTATCTGTTCCATGGTGCTGCTGTGCAAAGAAATAGTGCTTAAGCTCTATTTCTTGCACTGCATATTTGCTGTGTCTTGGATACTGATTGGAATAGGGAACATGGTTTCCGGTCATGAGTGGGTGCTCATTTATGGAAGAAGTTTGGGGCAGAAATAGTCTAATGTATCATGGTGAGTTACTTTCTGAGTTTGTATGCAGCTGAAAGCTTTTTTTGAGATATGAAGGTAGTGTAATACAACTTGGTCGGTTACTGTTTTCAGTGGTAAGGATATCAAGGGATCTGCAGGTAGAGTGCATTGGCTCTAGTAGCTGTAGGCCAACTTCTGCAGTACTTTTTTTGATGGAACAGGAGACTGTATATGGCGCTTAGGGACATGGTTTAGTGGTGGACTTGGCAGTGTTAGGTTTACAGTTGGACTTAATGATCTTAAGGGTCTTTTCCAACCTAAATGATTCTATGATTTCTGCATAATTTCCCATAATGTCAATGTTTTTGTTTTACTGTGCACTACTTCTCCCTGAGTGATGCCTGTTCTTTGCAAGGGAGAAGACAGGTTAGAGATTTGTAAAGGCTTCTACCTTCTACAACTTGCAGTGTAAGATGCAGTACAGTTAAAAGACTATGACTGTACTGCAAGAGGCTGAAGTAATTAGATGCTGATTACTCATGGGTATATTAGTTAAAAGAGTTGAAGATTCAGTTCTTAATACTAAAGGAAGTAATCCTTGAGCCTTGCCTCTTCGCTGTGTATTTGCTGTGCCTTGAACACTGAATGGATTTAGATGGTTTCTAGTCATGAATTGGTTCACTCATGGGAGAAGTAATTATCTGTTCAGTTACTGCAAGCTGGTCTGATTACTGGAGATGACGTGTGCTTATGCCATATGACTAAGACTCTCAGGCTTTCAAGTTTAGGCCATGATAGGCTTTAGTTGCTGAATGGAGAACAGTGAGCGGAAATCACATACTATTTGGGAACTGCCTGTCTGTTTCTAGACCGAATGGATGGAAACCTATATATCCTGCAGATCTGAGGATGTTGTGCAAATTGGGCACTTTACCTGGGGAATATGTACAGAGCTGTGCTACTGCTTTTATACTAGTAATTGCCACCGTGTACTAAAAGATTTAGTTGATGAGATATCCCTGTTTTGAGCTATTGCTGCAAAAGACATTTTAAAGTCTAAATTATTATTTATTTATTTGTATGTGTGTGTGTGCGCAATTCAGGAAAAGGAATTGAGGAAGGCTGGTTCTTAGTTTTATTAGGTTCATCTATCTCTTTGTGAGACAGAAGGATCGGGTAAGCTCCGAATTTTTATGTCTGATGCTAGAGAGTATGTGGGTTCAGCAGTTCTGCCTTGTCTCCTTATTACACTGTACTTGGATGTTAAAGAAAGTCAGGTTTTTAGGATCAGGAGGGACTCTTCTGACCTGCAGTGTCGCATGCTTGGCAGACTTTTCCTGTCCTCAGAAATATCAGGTATTGGGCATTGACTTACGAACAGGCTGATAACTGGTATAGGTAGGCTTGCTATGGATACTAACCCCAATAATAAGTGCTGTACAGGGGGCTGCAGTCTTCTAAATATATCTGGGTTCAAAGCATTCCTGTCTTTATGCAGATTCCTAAGTGCTTTACTCTGCTTATGCAATGAGGCAAGGTGCTATTCTGCTCCTGGGTTCCTTATGCTTTATTGCCTGATTTCCTAGTTTACTTTGGACAAAAGAAGACCAACTGCTTCAGGATAAGTGTAGAAGAGAGGAGTAGAGTCCAATTTACTGATTGTAATGGGTATGAAAATAGCATCAGCAGCTGTCTATGTGTTTAGAGCGAGAGGCCTCTTGAGAACCTATTTGCTGCAAGTTAACATGTCTCTCTCAGTAAAGAGTAAATCGTATGTTTCTGTCTTGGAGTGAGAGAACAGAACATTGATAATCAAAATCTGTGAAGAAAGGGGGGTTTGTTAACACATACTTATGGAATTTGGAGACAGTTTCCATAGGACAGCATACATTCAGTGCTTTCTGTTTGAGAATTCGCCTAGTTCTGTGGGCTGTGAAGGCTTCTTTGAAACACTAATTTAATTGAGCTCTCATATAAGCAGTCTTCCTTTGTGTGGCCTCACCTTGTCCACGCTGGAGTTTTTTACCCGTTGCATCTTCTCTGAAGCACAGGCTTTCCTGTTTGTTGTCAAGATGAGAGTGGTAAAATTTTTATCCAGAGCAAATCTCGGAGCGGGAGACAGCTTGGTTGTCTTCTGTCCAGGATTAGGAAGTAAACATATCAGGTGTTGTTTGTGTAACTGCCTGACTCTAAGTTGTAATTTTGTATAACAGGAATCACATAAATGGTTTTCTATCATCACCCCTGAGACCTGCTCAGCCTGATTGGTGCACTCAGTCTGCTGCTTTTCTGAGGCCAGTTCTTTCTTGATGTGGTAGTCTGAGCTAATGCTGTCCTGCTTTTATCTGAAAGGTTGGAGATGTTATTTTAAGAAACTGGCAAAGCTGAACCTAACTTGACTGGCACTTTTCCACATGAGATGTGTTCAGTCTTACAGTCATTTTTTGAGTTTTAAGAAAACATAAGCCGCTCTTGGGATTGATGCTAAAAAGGAAAGAGAAGGCCAGAAGGAGTACTGACTGTAACCCTCTCTGTGAGTTGGGGTAAGCTGTGCATTTTCAGGCTTTCCAGATACTTTCCAAGGGGTGGTATGGTAGAATGGACAAAGTCTGGCTGTTGTAGGTGTGGAGAAGGATGGTGTTCCTATACACATGCAAACCAATCTCCCTTTTGAGTTGGCTGAAGCCCCAGATAACTTTGGAGTTCAGGCTTCCTGGACTCCTGCAGGAACTGCAAAGACCACATCCATGCTGAGAATAGAGCAAATTGAGCAAGGCAGCTTTAGAAGGTCTTCTCATGGTAAACAATGCTTGTTTTAAAAGGGAAGTGTCTGATTTCTCTCTCCAGCAAGGGCCCTCGTTGTAGAGCAAGTATCTCTGATCGGGTGGAGACTTGAGGACAAGGCTAGCTGCAGTAATAACATTGAACACATCCAGGAGGTGCTATATCCTCAATTCCAGCAGGCAGGAGTGATGATAATGTTGTCACTATCTCAGAAGGCTGCACCAGGCGATCATAGCATTCTGTTTTTCTAGGTGAGGAAGCTGCCTCAACTGGAATGAGAAGATAGTCACCCGGGGGGCGGGGGGTGGTGGGGGGAGGTGATTAAAGGGGTTTATGTGTGTACAAATGCAGAGAAATATTAGCACATCTAAGTTTTCATCTCTCTCTCCATGTAGTTATACCAGTCTCTGTGAGGGAAGAAAGAAGCATATGAGCTTCATTATTGAGATCATCAACGGATCTCCAGGTCAATATGTTATACAGGCTAGGCATACATGCCTTTTGTGGTAGACTCAGCCAATTTCATAGAGTTCTCTTTTCCAGGACAGTTGAGTAGTCCAATTTCCTGGGCCAGGTATCTCTGCAGCTCCTTGGTCTTTGCTGATCTGTGGAAAATTCTCTCTTCTTTACTTGTCTTGCATCAGGAAAATTCCAAAGCTTGCTGGTTTCCCTTCAAGTCTAGCCTATCTTAGCATCTCTTTCCCAGCTGATCAAGGAAGTTGGGAAAGTATGTTAATCATGAAACAATGTCCGTGCTCAGCGCTGTCTCATCTGTATTCTGGGAAAGGGGAATTGGGTTACCTCAACAGGAGAAATAGGCACTTCCATAGGAGCTGGGAAATTGTTCTTCGATGCTTACAATCTCATTCAGGGTATGCTGGAAATTGAGTCTCAGGAGGAGTCCTTAAGGACAGGACTACTTCTGTGTCCATTCAGATCTCATTTTTGGCAGCTTGAAGCCTTTGTTCCTGAGAACTGCTGATGAGGAGGGTTGTCTCTCTCCCATGTGACTTTTTCCCTGTGGCTCTGTGGGAGAGCGCAGGGCTATCCTCTCCACCCGAGAGAGGATTAAAAAGGAACTGAACAAGTAAATTTCTTTACAACTTTTACTACCAGATGAAGCATAAACCGTATGTCTGAGAACTGTCTGGGACCAAACCCTGAACACAAGCTTATGCTCTAAGGCAGATAAAGGAGTGAAAGGTAGGCCTCCAGAGCAAATGCTGAGTTAACTTTTCTTCTGTGCTGAATATTCATGGTTTGGATTTATGATGTTATTGGAAGGGAATGGGATAAAGCTAGCTGCTGCTACTCTGCCTAGGAGCCTGTTTGAGTATCCTGAGTGGGTGAAGGTATCTCAGAAATATGAATGGGGCATCCATAAAAAACACCAGCCCATGGCAGGGATGCTGCCTGGACAGTATGTTCCCCCTCTCATGTACCGATGGTAGCTGAGTCTAGGGAGCTATTGCTTTACTAGTCCTGTAAACTGACATGCCAGTACGGACAGTGGCTGGCAAGGTGGGGCTCTGCCGATCAGAGTGACTCTCCTTCTTGTGTGAGTACCCCAACAAGCTCTCAGAAGTATTCCTTAGGTGATAAGGTTGGGCATACAATTTCACAATGTGCTGTTTTAGTATGAGGCCTTGATCTCTGGTAAGCTGGTTGTTTTGTCCCTAGCAGGCCCAGCAAACAATAAGGCTGATCTTACATAGTGTTTTGAAGCTTGGTCTTAGATGCAATATAACAATTGAAATAGTTTTCAGAGAACTGCTCACTATCCTTTCTCTTAACAGGTGTGGGGGTGTATGCTGTTTTAAAGGCACCTGGAGGAGTCTGGAGCAATGCCACCACCTTCGGACATTGTGAAAGTAGCTGTTGAGTGGCCAGGTGCCAATGCCCAGCTGCTGGAAATAGATCAGGTGAGACCTCGTAACCAGAGAGCAGAGGAAATGCACCACAACCTTGATACTGGAATGTGGGAAGCATAGAAATGGGCAGTATTCCTTTCTGGTTGAGAAGAGCATGGCTACTGAGGACTCTCTCTTTCTGTTCTAGAAAAGGCCTCTTGCATCCATCATCAAGGAGGTCTGTGATGGGTAAGTAGTTCTCTGGGAACCCTTGTGGAGAAAGTCTGTCCCCCTCACAAATCTTGCTGGAGTACTGTGGAAAGTCTCTGCGGCTTGTCAATGTGCTGCTAGCATGATCCATGCTGCCGGCTGCCGCTTTTGGCCACAGAATGGACCAGGGTTTAAATCGGGAAGAAAAGGATCTCCTAGAAAACAGGGGCTTTGCATCTTTATTCCAATTCTGAGTGTGTGCATATGTATGCCCCTAGGGTCAGCATCTCTCAGGATTGGCCCATCTGGCTGTTCCTGAAGTGCAGGCCTCTTCAGACATTCCACAGAGCTTGACTTAGAGTAGGCTGGAGTCCCATCTCCCCCTCAAGAGAAAGGTGTTTTCTCTCCTCTTTGGGAGACCTAATCTCCCATGCTAAAGCTTTGCTTGAAAGTTCTTTTCCACCCTCCTGGGATCAAGCTCCTGTTCCTAATTGAAAGCCAGAAGAAAGAAGAGGAAGAAGCTTATGTATCCTTCTGCTTCCTCTGCCAGGTGGTCATTGCCAAACCCTGAATACTACACCTTGCGGTATGCTGATGGTCCTCAACTGTACATCACAGAACAGGTCAGTGTGAGAAGAAGCAATTTGCTGGTGTCCTGGGTGTGAGCACAGAATGCCTTGGTCTAGTGTCATGGAACAATATTGTCACTAATCCTTGACAAGCAGTATCTCTGCTATCAAAAATACTCAGACTTGAATGGTGTCATTCCACTGAATAGCCTTGCACTTCTCTCTTTGCATGCCCATAGGTGCGAGAACCCAGTGACTCAATTCAATACTGTCAGTACGGTTGTGTGGTATAGGAACCCCTTTACTTGTGCATACAAATGTGCACTGTAGATCCAGTTGCCTTCTTTTCCTGCCACTCTTCTGCAGTTTAAAGTTTATGTTTTCTTCCAGACTCGTTGTGACATCAAGAATGGAACTATCCTACAGCTGGCAGTCTCCCCGGTAAATGCTTGCTCACATCCCTTTTTCTCAGTAGCTATCCTCATATGACAGGCTGTTTCTTGCCTCTCAGCTTTTCTTTCTTCTTCTCCCCAAATGGCAGGGGGCTTATCTTTGTTGTGGGCCATTCTGCACAATGAGGCACACACTCTTGTTTTCCTTCCTGGTTGTGTGTGTCTTTCCTTTGGATGCTCTGCCCTTTTATAGGACTTTCTGTAAATAAATCCAGTCTACATTTTTGTTGCATCTCCTAGATTAGCATGTTGTAAAGCACCTGACAGATGCATTCTCAATATGAGTGCAGTTAATAGTATCAGTTGGAAAGCAACACTACTGGTAACTTAATGCAGAAATTAAAATAAGAGACAAATTTGATACGGAGGGGGTGTTGTTCCTAGTGAATTCTTGCTAATGTGACCTGAACAGTTGTCTTTTGCAGACTTGCTGCAGCTTCCTTTTTATTTAAATTTTTAAACCTTTTTTGTACAAGTGTCATGGCATATAGCTGAGAATGAGTAGAACAGAAAGAAGTTATTTGGGCAAGAGATGGCTGAGAGAATGTCATTGATTTATGTCAGAAATCTTACAGAATGTCGTGTGGATACAAAAAAATGAGCTTGTGCTTCTCTTTGAATCTATGAGATTTTTTTTTTTACATCATATTTCTTTAATGGTCTCACTCCATATTTCTGTATTGACCTCCACTCGCCTCACCAAGAAGAAAAACAAGAATTTACTGGCTGAGAAAATGTCATTGATTTATGTCTGAGAAATCTTACAGAATGTCGTGTGGATACAAAAAAATGAGCTTGTGCTTCTCTTTGAATCTATGAGATTTTTTTTTTAACATCATATTTCTTTAATGGTCTCACTCCATATTTCTGTATTGACCTCCACTCGCCTCACCAAGAAGAAAAACAAGAATTTACTCTAACATGTGAAATAGCATTTTACTCGCCTCCTGCTTGGTTGTAACTGTTGCTGAGTGCAGCCTTTTTTTAGTCAATCTTAGACTTGCTGACTGCTGCTATGTATCATTTCATTACTGGTATCTCTCTACCCTTGCTGTGTTCTCTGCCCATCCATGGACTTCTGGCAGAAAGCAGATGCTGGCAGAACTCAGTCTGCAGGTGACTAGTCTGTAACTGGCGTCATCTGTTTTTCCTCCCAGTCTAGGGCAGCTCGCCAGCTGATGGAGAGGATCCAGTCGCACAGTATGGAAGCCCGACTGGATGCCATGAAGGAACTAGCTAAACTTTCAGCAGATGTGACCTTTGCCACAGAGTTCATCAACATGGAAGGGATTACAGTGCTGACACGGCTTGTGGAGAGCGGGACCAAGCTTCTGTCGCAGTAAGTTTTCTGTATTCCAGGACTCTGGAATAGGCCCGCAAATAAGCAGCTAATTTTGCTTGCTGAAGTGGCATTAAGCAACTAACTTCATAGCAAATGCCAATCTATTAATTGAGACAAAGTCTTTCTAGTCCTTTACTAAACCTCATGAGGCAAAAGGAGATGCTTATGATGTGTGAAACTTGCATTGAAAGGTCTCTTCGTTAATTTAAATGACTTTTATTACCTTTCTTGTGGTCATAAGCTCCTTGAGCAGTTATTCATCTGCGATCTAAGGCAGAAGGTATCCTATGAAAAAAACACATGCCGTTGCACACAAGAGCTGGTGGCAAGTACATGCCAGTCAGCAGCAAGCATGTTGCTGGCTCTTGTATACATGGTCAGTACTTTTTGACCTGCATGATAAGAGTAGTTGCTGTGAAGGCCAGAGGTCTATTCATGTTAGGGAATGGAAAGGGGTAAAGAATGTGTAGCAGAGAAAGTATCAGTCTTCAGTCTCCAGCAGTTTTCAACTTTTGGGCTTCTGGAGCAGAAATTGTATCTGTTTGTTTTAAGAACCTTTGGGTGTTTCTTCCATAGATTTTTCTTCTTAATTTTTTAATCAATTTATTCTTTTGACACCTACAGCACTGTGTGGAAATGAAGTTCCACAGTTACTCGTCCTGTAAGAAAAAAATACATCCTTTATTTTAAACATGTCACCTCCTATTCATTTGGTTTCCTCTACATATTTTGTTATGAGAAAATGTAAATTCCTCTGTACAATTTGTAACCATATAGATCTCTCGATCTCTCTCTCTCTTGTATTAGCCCTTAGTCATGTCTTTTCTAAGCTGCAGTCTTAGTCCATTAACACTGTAATTATGGCAGCCATTCCAGAGTGCTAATCATTCTTTCCATGCTTCCCCTAGTTTTTTGCTCTTTCCAGTACTACTGTACAGTTGTGGGGAAATTTGTTTGTAACTTTTCATCAGTTTGAAACCTGACCATTTAATTTCTACCCTTTTGTTTCTTGTCTTTCAGTCAGTTATTAATGCATGAAAGGGCTTTTGGTTTTACCCTTTAGCAGCTGAGTGTTTTGGGTTTTTTAAGACGCTTTAATGAAGCACCTCCTAAAAATCTTCTTCGAAGTCCAGGAGTTGTGCTTAACTGTTCTCATTCTGACTTACTGATTTGTTCAGATACCTTCAGTGTTGTGGTAGGTTAACCTGGGCTGGCTGCCAGCTGCCCACCAAGTCACTCTCTCACTCCCCCTCCTCAACAGGACAGAGAAAGAAAACAAGGTGAAAAATCTCATAGGCTGGGCAAAACAGACTCAACTTGGGGAAAATTAACTTTTTTTTTCCCAATCAAAAAGAGAGTAGGATGGTGAGGAACAAAGACAAAAGTAAAACCATCTTGCCTCCACCCTCTTCTTTCTGGGCTCAACTTTACTCCTTCACTCCCCACTCTTCTGCTTCCTCCCCCCACCAGGATGTGTAGAGGGATGGAGAATAGGGATTGCGGTCAGTCCATAACACTTTGCCTCTGCTGCTCCTTCCTCATCACACTTTTCCGCTGCTCCAGTGGGGTCCCTCCCATGGGATACAGTCCTTCACAAACTGCTTCACTGTGGGTCCCCCACAAGACGCAGTCCATAAGGAACAGACTGCTCCAGCATGGGTCCCCTGTGGACCGCAGTTCCTGCCGGAAAACCTGCTCCTACATGGACTTCCCTCAACAGGCTGCAGCTCCTGCCAGGAGCCTGCTCCAGCATGGGCCCCCCACGGGCTGCAGCTTCCTTCAGAGCATCTCCACCTGCTGCGGTGTGGTGTCCTCCACGGACTGCAATGTGAATATCTGCTCCACTGTGGTGGACCACGGGCAGCAGGAGACGACCTGCTTCACTGTGGTCTCTCCACAAGCTGCAGGGGAATCTCTGCTCCAGCACCTGGAGCACTTCCTCTCCCTCCTCCTTCACTGACCTCGATGTCTGCAGGGTTGTTTCTCTCATGTCTTTTTTCACTCCTTTCTCACAGCTGCTGTGCAGCATTTTTTACCCTTTCTTAAATATAGTTCCACAGAAGTGCCACCGGCTTGACATACGGGCTCAGCACTGGCCAGTGGTGGGTTCATGACAGAGCTGCATGGGACCAGCTGTGTCTGGCACGGGGCAGCCCCAGCCTCTCCTCATAGAAGCTGCCCTGCAGCCCTCTGCTACCAAAACCTCGCCACATAAACCAAATACACATATAGATGTGAAACATAACTTCCATCTACAAAAGCTGTAGCAATTCTTCCCTGTTAAATTTTTTTTTTTTTTCCTAGTGGTATTATTCCTTTATTGCAGATTCTCCCTATCTTTCTGGTTACAAATACCTAAATGCCTGATATGCCCTTCAGATTCCTGCCTGATTCCTGCCTGAGTCCTCTCTAAAAACTGGCATTATATTTGCCACTTTTTGCACAGCACAATAAGTAGTTTGGCAATGTTTTGGTATACCATGGTTCCTTTTGAATTCTTCACTGAATATCATCTGGTCCTGGAGATCTGTTTTTCATATTAATAGTTCATTCTAAATGTCTTCTAGTGGTGTTCAAATGACAGATTTGAAGACTTTTCTTCTCTCTTAAGAGCAAACAAAAAAAACTGGAAAAAAAACAAACTCTGATCTGGAAGTTTCCCAGAGCACATTCACAGTGAACTCGGATGCAAATAATTCACTTGGCTTTTCTGCTTTAGTTGTTCTGTTTCATTGAAAGCACTTTTAAAGTCTTAATAACTTACTGTCGTAACATTTATAGGTCTTCTATTTTCTTATAAATTAGCAACTAATATGTTTTCAGCATGTTTTATTGAGTAGTGATACTTTGCAGTGCTCAGGAGTAAATACTGCATTGCTGCTTCTCCTGTTACTCCTTTGACTATCCAGGTGCTGATCCAGGTGGTTGTGAGTCTCTGGTGGTAGGATGAGGCACTTATTGTTGCTAGTTTTAATTTATGCTTGTAATCAGGACAAATAAAATATGCTTCTACAAAACAATAAAATTATCTTCATAAATGCAAATACTTTATTGCTCCTCTAGCTGCCAGATTGTAGCCTGTTTTATTAGGATAAGATGGTGACATTTTTCTCTTATCTAGCTTATTCAGCTTGGACAGGCTTTTTCCTTGACACTGGATCTCTTGTAACTGTATTCTTCATTTTCTCAGTTACAGCGAGATGTTGGCTTTCACCCTGACTGCCTTCTTGGAGCTCATGGACCATGGTATTGTCTCCTGGGACATGGTCTCAATAACCTTCATCAAACAGGTGAGTTTGGGTAAAGGGGGTGAGTGGATGCTATTTCTTTTCATGCTTTAATGCAGCTTCCAGGAAGAGCAAGATGACTGAGAAGCTGAGTACTCATTGAGAGCACAGTGCACCCAGCTTTCTGAGCCCTCTCTTCCTTAACCTTGTGGTGAGGGAGACAAGCTTCCTGGATGGGCATCTATTGACCTGCTGGTTCATCTGTTTTCAGATTGCAGGGTATGTGAGTCAGCCTATGGTAGATGTCTCTATCCTCCAACGATCCCTAGCCATTCTAGAAAGCATGGTGCTAAACAGTCAGACTCTGTATCAGAAGATAGCAGAAGAGATCACCGTGGGGCAGCTCATTTCTCATCTGCAAGTGTGAGTGTCCACCCAAGAGTGGTGTGATTTAAATCATTTTATGAGTACCTGTTAATTTGAAAGTACATCCTTTTATTTTTACAACACTTAAAGGTGCTATTTTTAAAGTATTACTGTTATGATATCTTACTTGCACTTCAGGATTTCTAACAGATTTTTTTTTTTAAAAAAGTAAGATCCTGGAAAAATACGTTCTGTGCTCTGGAAGCACTTAAGCACATGAGTATATGTCTTGAACAAAGATATTTTGCTTAAACAACTGCACAAGTGTGTTCGGTGTTAGGACCAAACCTGCGTTTTACTAAACTTCCCAAAGCTTCTGCATCCAGTCATCTGTCACCTTCACTCTCCTTTAAATTATCTCCACTAGAATCTTAAGAACTCATAATCTTCTGGGTTTTGTCCTGCATATTAAGGAAGAAAACAATGGCTTTTCTTGCCTTTTTTTTCCCCCCACCTCCCCTTCCTCTCTTTCCAAATGAATTGACAAATTAATACCTGGCTTTTAAAGCTGTTTGTCTAGCTCAGTTCTACTTTTCCATAAAAAAAAGAAGCATGCATTTGGTAAAGCTTCAAGTAGGTTCTTTTTTTTTTTTCTCTCGCCTTTTAATTCTGAAAATGTGGAAAAATGCCATTTGTGAATATGATTAATATTCCTTAATCAATGAACAGTAGTTTAACAGAATTATAGTGCAAACAATGTATTGCATCAATGTCACTGTGTGCTTAGAGTGTTTATACATTTGAACTTGGTTAACAGAAAAGCTAAACAAGTCCTCCTGAACACTGTGGCAATTTTGTTCTACAAAGAGTGTATGTTCTTTCAGCTTTATATTATTTATTACTATTTTAGTAAAATACAGGTTTGATCCTAACACTGAACACCTTGTGCAGTTATTTAAGCAAAATATCTTTGTTCAAAACATATACTTGTATGCTTAAGTGCTTCCAGAACACAGAAGGTTGCTGAAGAAAGTATCTGTGCAGGGAATATTGTAGAAAGGGAGGCTGCAGAGTGAGAATTTGCTGATGTTTGTTTGGCAAGACTATCAAGAGGGAACAATCTTTAACAGAGGATAGGTTCTGGAAGAACAGGTCCATGAAAACAAGTCTAAAAGAGACTAGTTAGAAGAGGAGAAATTAATTTAATAATTGTTTTTCTGTGTCAAAAAGTGAGCAGTGTGGTGAAAAGAGCAGCAAACCCTGACAACGAGGGTAGAAGAGGTGAAGTGACAGGCTTCAGAGACTTGCAAAGCTTGGAGGCCCAAGGAGAACCTAGGATGGTGCATGAACATTTGCATGTTTCAAGTATGGCAGATTGACCAAAATGAAGAAGATTTGGAAGGGAGCAATAGAAGAGAGACTATAATTGTTATCCACAGATGTGACAGGGATAAATGCCAAAGTGGGGAAAATAGCTATTTAAGCTAAAAGATGTTTTAACTTCAGATGTTTTATAAAAGTTTAATTTTTTATATATATTTAAAA